TAATAATAATAATAATAATAATAATAATAATAATAATAATAATAATACCCCAGAAACTCTAGGTGTTTATAAGGAAGATTGGGGTGCAACTCAGAACAAACTAGAAGTAATAGGCTACAATTAATCAACTGCTAATAGTATTTCATTTTGTCTTATACTTAACATAGAGAGAAACTAACAAAGCTGCTTTAAAAGATTCCTAGGAGAATATCAACAGACAATGGGAAATACCTGGTGCAAAAGCTACCCCTAAGGATTGAATTGGAAATTGTTTTTGATTGCCCAGATAGAAAGGATATAGAACAAATCCATATGCAATTGGCTATGTGGGAAAACCTATCTGCTAAAGATATTTAGAACAGGACATTAGTTGTAGATATTACATGCTTTACTTAACAGCTTGCTAAATTTACGTTTTAGCTATTGTTTTACTGAATGTATAAATCGATGTTCATATACAATGCTAAATAATAAAATATGATTTATATAATACAGCATAATTTAGCGCAATATGTGAGCCCAGTTATGATGTCAAACTGGAAAGCTCAAAAAAGCAAAATAGAGATAGCACCATATGCTGGGAGCTATAAACAGTAATGGGATTCAGCCAGTTTGCACCACTTCAGGAGAACTGGTTGTTAACTTTCTGAGCAGTTTGGCGAACTGGTTGTTGGAAGAAATCAGAGAACTGGTTGTTAAATTATTTGAATCCCACCACTGGTTATAATCACCCTAATGCAGATGCTCATGGTGATATGAGGATAAAGAATAAAAGAAATAAGACATCCAAAGGAAAAAAGATAGCAACAGGAAATAAGTTTAATTAGAAAGTAAGACAAACAGGATAAAAATTAACCCAGTGATGATGGAGATTAGTTTTCTACATTTTCTAAATGATGGTGTTAGTAATTATAATATGCTTGTACTGATTCAGGATAATTATATCAGCGTTGCTGATGTTATAGAAAATATTACCATAAAGATTCCTTTTGACTATGTGGTACACGCCCACACAATTTACTTGGTAATAATGTGGACAAGGTTTGTTGTTACCTTCTTCTGGGATGCTTCTTCAACTTCTCAATCTGTTCTACAGCCCTTGGCTCTCCTAACACTCAGCTAAGATTGTATAGGTTTTATAAAAACACATTGCACACAAACTACTGTAGTATTATTCAGTTTAGTTCATGCTTAAGAGGAAAATTGTCCAGAAATCCAGCCTGATTAGATCAAAACTGTGAAGCCTGCTAAAAAGTGAGAGTAAAAGGGATGTTAGATATCATTCAGTATCACAGTAATATGGTTCTATTAAATATAATCCTTTAACTATGAAAACCTTTCAAAAACTTGTGTTTTGGTCAGATTTGGTCAGATAAGAAAATTGGTCAATGATCAGAAAAGTTTTAAAAAATCCAGTCACGTACATTTAAAGAACTCATTTATATTCATTTATTTTGTAATGAATGGGCATGTGCCTTTCTAATCTTTCCAAACCATACTCCTAATCAACAAAATTAGCAGTCTCTTTATCTGCTTTACGATGCATAATTAGCCATTATACAGGATCTGATATTTAAAACCAGGAAAATTAAATGTAAATGATATGTGTAAGATTTTTATTTTATTTTTATTTACAGTTATGTCTTTTTTCAGATACAACTCAAGATAGCAAATACTCCTACTTTCCCCACAGTAACAACCCTGTGAGGTGAGTTAGGCTGAGACAGAGTGACTGGCCCCAAATTACCCAGCTGGTTTTTCATGTCGGTAATGGGACTGGAAGTCACAGTCTCCTATTTTCTAAGCTAGCCCTTAACCATTATACCAAACTGGCCAGCACCGTCACCACACATTCGCATAAAGCAGTTTATGACATCATACAAAGTGTCACAAAACATTTCCTGTGTTGATGTTTTATTGTGCTACACCATTCAACATGGGATATATTCAAGGCAGATACATCTCTGAATATATCCCAACTTTTCCAATGAAGGCAGTACATTAGAAATTGTGTCACTGATGAAGGCACTGAGAAATCTAGTAAGTAAATATCTCTGAAAGGATGGCCCAATGGGTCAGAGGTTGCCTAGTTCCTCCTTAAATGATAAGGAGTTAGTGATAAGCCATATGATCATGCTGTAAAAGCAAAAAGCAGTCTGATATTACTTAATAAAATTAACTTCTTTACCAATTCTAGCTTTTACCAAAATGTTATCTTTAAAGAAGAAAACCTAACTCCTCCAGCTTATTTTTACTTACAATATATATGTTAATTACTTTTGTTTTACAATAATACTATCCCAAAGATAGTTCAATAGAGAATGTCTTTATCTTTGATACTTTGGATATCAATACAGTACTATCTGGATGAATATAACAATAAAGCAAAAGTAATCTGAAGAGTGCTTATTTCTATAGCATGCTCAGCAATTGTTTGTTTGGTTTTAGTTCAGTATTTCTGCAAATCCAACCACTGTAGTTCATACAGTGTGAAAGATGGTTTACAACAAGGAGCCACTGCAGCTTAAGAGTATGATTCAAACAGAACATGATCTACAACATGAACCTAGTCACATCCCTTTACACTACAGTATCTTTCACACACACACAAAAGAATCACAGAATTATATTTGTATTTAATATCCACTGCTGCATCTTGCACTAAGTCTTTTACTGACCAAAAATATTCCTTAGCAACAGTAACACTACTTCTGTCAGGCTAATTATAATTAGTACCCAGTAAGTACTAGTAAGCAATTCAGACTAATCCTGATGTTCATTATTAGTTTCTTTAAAAGATGATCAACTTGAATAAGATTACAATTAATGTCAGTAACAGGAATTTGGAAACAAACAAAAGTTTAGAGGATTTCAGCCCTCAGGCACATGATTCTATGTTACCTAATATGAAATATCAAAATAGAAAACAGGCAAATATAGGCAAATCCTAAGTGAATAGCCAGATCAGCATAACATACAGTAAAATGATTTAAGCCTCCAATATTCAGGATAGTTTCCTGACATGGAAAATCTTGAAAGGTGGCACACAGTAATTTCTAAAATGCAGCATATATCCTGCAGAAGGATGAAAAGGGTTCAGTGCTACATTAGGAAAAATGCAGGGAGAAATAAGAAGCAGATCAACTCCCAACTGAAATGACAGATACTACAGAATTTGCCAGCACCTAAAAGATACATTCTTTGCACTGACAGGCAATTTTTCATGTCTACAAATCAGAAAAAGTAGAAAGCAACTGGCACTTTTGCACAGGTTGCAAAGAGATTGGTTAATGCTAAGAACTGTATAAAGTTGTATAATAAAAAGCCTATTTTCTTTATCTCCTTAACTTTAGATGAAGCCATGGGAAGATTGAAATCATGTTGCCAGGGTGAAAGCAAATATATTAGCACCATGAAAACTAAGTCTGCTGTACTGCTGGTGCCACCTGGGCCCACTCATTTCATCATTTACCAATCACTTGCTGAATATTGAAATATAACAATAAAATATTTCTAATTTAGAGAAATTTGAGCAGAAACGAATATCTCTAAAACCTGGCACTTTCAAAGACAGAGGGGTAAAAAAAGTGCTACTGTCAGTATAACTACTTTACTTGGGGGGAAAAAGTACATAGGATTGTAATTTTAGACCCTGGTGCTATGCATGTTTATTGTAACAAGGTTACAATAGCTGTTGATACACGTTATGAAGCCTTAGGGATAGGGTGGGCCAACTATCTAAATGGAAGAGTTCATGGAAGAGGCCACATGCTTACAAATCAAGGGTAACAAAGTGTATATGTGTGTACATACATACATACATACACACACACAAATTTGAGCCTTAGCTGATTGTGTATGGGTGCTAGAGGTTAAAATTGTCATTGCTACACTCGTCCTGTAATTTCAATCATTTACTTTCAATAATTTAGGTTTTTTTCCCCCTCAAGATTTTGATTCAGAGAGAAAACCTCACACTGTTGCCAAATAATGCAAAAGGAACTCCAGATAACCTGTCATGTTGGCATAATCATCTAAAATACTAACGAACAATAATGAATGGCAGAAAAGTGACTCTGCCCTCCAAAAAATATTCGCTAAAATTACCAGGATCTGCAACTCTGACAAGGGGGAGAGGAGGGGGGAAGAGAATGAAGCAGGAATAACAGGCTAAGCCACTCATAGAGGACTTAGGAGAGGCAGATTGCCAAGAGGCCCCACCCTCCTTCAGAAAGGGACAAAATAATTATAACAAAAAAAATTAAAAAGCATTAGTTTGTCAACTGGCTGAACCCTAACTTGTGGAAGGGCAAGCCTATCCCGGAAGTCAGGTCTGTTAACAGCGGTGAGTCCGACCTCAAAGGCATAGGAAGGAGAAAGGTTATCGGGCTAGGAAGATGCCAGTCCAAATTCTACTTCGCGGATCCCTTGAGAAGATCGCGTTGGGCGCCCATTTGCAAATCCTGTGGCTTACAGCACTGGAGATAAAGCGCAGTCCCATGCTATCCTACTCAGATGGAAGTCCGCACTGACTTCCAAGGATTTTACTCACAGGTGCGTGTTCCAGATTACGAGCCCAGCAGTGGGGCTGCAAAAGGACGGACCAAAAATAAATAAATGCACACCTGTCGAAATAGAAAGGGGGGGAAAAAGAGACTTCGGAATTTATTGGTCCGTAATACTTCAGGTCCTTACCTGGACGAATCCTTCAGCAAAGCAGATCCTCTTCCTCGCGCGGCTTCTTTCCTCCTCCGCCTCCTCGCTCTCTCGGAATCGGCCACTCTCCTCCTCCACTGCGCAAGGTCACAGGCTCGGCTCTACTAGGCGAGAGATACTTCGCGTTTCTTTCCTGCTTCTTCTCCGCCGAGGGAGCCCTCGCTAGTTGCAAGTTCGTCGCGCGCCTCCTACAAGGCGGAGTAGCGGCTCGGCACCGGAGCGGTCGGCTTCTCCCCTCCTCTGCCCCGCAACCTGCAGCCTCGCCCCACCACAACCAGTCCGGGGAAGAAGAGTTCTTCTCTTCTACTGGTCGGTGAGCCCCGCCTTCCGTCCCGGACTAAGCCCCGCCCCGAAAGCTGCTCTCCGCCAGCAGGTATGGGCAGAGCTACAGTGGAACAGGGAAGCCAGAAGGACAGCCCGGCGGACCAACCACCGTTTGCTTCCACTGCCCTGCCCGCCAGGACCTGGGCGAAGTTTGGAGGGTGGGGGAAGCTTTTTTTTTTTTTTTTTTAATGGAACTTATTAAGGGCGCTCGGTTTAAGCCCATCCTTTATCTGCCTGTTTTCTTAACCGTTGTGAAAGCGAGCATTGCATGGCTTTCAGGAACCGCTTCCTTTCATGGGCCAATTACACAGTTCTGGTAATAGTAGCATTTAAAACACAATAGAATAGAATAGAATTCTTTATTGGCCAAGTGTGATTGGACACACAAGGAATTTGTCTTGGTGCAAATACTCTCAGTATACATAAAAGAAAAGATACATTCCTCAAGAGTCAAGAATCATCAGGTACAACACTTAATTAGGCTACAATAAGCAATCAAATTATACTAGGAAACAGTCAATATAAACAATAAGGATACAAGCAACTAAGTTAGTCATACAGTCACAAGTGGGAGGGGATGGGTGATAAGGTGTGATGAGAAGATTAATAGTAATAGTAGTGCAGACTGTAAGTAGTTGAACAGTGTTGAGGGAATTATTTGTTCAGAAGAGTGATGGCATTCAGGAAAAACTCTCCTTGTGTCTAGTTGTTCTGGTGTGCAGTGCTCTATAGCGTCATTTTGAGGGAAGGAATTGAAACAGTTTATGTCTGGGATATGAGGGGTCTGTTGATATTTTCACAGCCCTCTTTTTTGACAGTAACTCAGTGGAAGGCAGGTTGATAGCAATTGTTTTTTCTGCAGTTCTAATTATCCATTGAAGTCTGTATCTGTCTTGTTTGGTTGCAGAGCCAAACCAGACTGTTATACAGGTGCAGATGACAGACTCAATAATTCCTCTGTAGAACTGTATCAGCAGCTCCTTGGGCAGTTTGAGCTTTCTGAGTTGGCGCAGAAAGAACATTCTTTGTTGTGCTTTTTTGATGACGTTTTTGACATTAGGTATCCATTTTAGGTCTTGTGATATGATAGAACCTAGAAATTTGACGGTCTGTACTTTTGAAGGTCTCTAATGTCTCTACAAGTTAGGACAACTCCACAAGTTCATGTATAGCTAGGATTCCTGGCACAATTCAGCCAAATCCCAAGAGGGTGCCTTCCAAATTGTTTGAGAACCCAGCAACACAAGGCAATAACAACCTTCCAGACACTTAACCGATAACATTGCTGTTTCTCTTTTTTACTCAGTATTTATAGTATAAAAAGGTTCTGCCTATACCAGTGATGGCTAACCTATGACACGCGTGTCACTTGTGACACGCCAAGGCACTTTGACTGACACGCCTGTTGGTGTGGGGAAAACCTGCACATTTAGAGCTGCCTGTGCTCTGCTCCAATCCCTGCTCCCTGCTTGTTGCGTGGAGGCATGGTGTCACCGCTGCCGCAAGATCTTTGCAGCAGAGAACCAGTTTTAACCGCCATAAACTGAGGTTTGTCAGTTTCATTACCTCAGGAACGCTACAGGAGGAAAGGAGATCCATGAGGTTCACAGCCCTGTAAGGTGGCCTTCCGATCCCCACATCCTGCACCTGCAGCCCTGAGACCAGGGAGACGAGTTTCACATCCCTGTGTGATCACCCCAGCCCAGTCCGTCATAAACCAAATTATTGATATTTCTTGAAGTGACACACGACCCGAGGAAGGCTACACTTTTTCCCGATTTTCGACACACCAAGCTGAAAAGGTTAGCCATCACTGGCCTATACCTTTGTAAGTCCTATGCAGGTATTTAAGGTACTTGGCAAATACAGCATTTGGGAAATCAACAATGACATTTCACACAAGAATGCAGACTATAATGTTGGTGGCATCTCTACTTTGCCACCAAAGTCTGAGGTTTCAAAATGATTTCCATGATTCTAAATTGTAGCTGTTAGTGACAAAATGATTGGCTGGTTCACATATTGCTTACATATGGTTAACTGAATCATGGTTTATTAATTGATTAAATCTCCTACTTTGTATGATCTAGTGAAGTATTAATTATGCAGGCTGGATTAATGTAATGTGCTAGGCTCAAATATGGCTACTTATGGCTCAGTGCGTCATAAAAACAGTTCCCAAATGAGTGATAAATGGATTTTCTGTGCAGTGGCATTTTGGCACCATAAAATGAACCTGACAGGAAAGAATTCCATCTTTTCCACTCAAAGCTAAACTGTTTCAACCCTTTAAGGACCCCCCTACCCAAAACACACACACTCAATTCCCAATTATCCCACTGGCTTCTGTTTACGTCTTCTTTGATTCTAAGATCTGTGCCTCCTTCAAATAATTGTCCAACTCAGCATGAAAAAAAATCCAGCAGCTCTGAAATGCAATCCTCTCCAGTACATTCTCACTATGCTTGATCAACTGCATGCTAAGATGGCCTTCAGAAGGTGTTCCTATTGAAGTTCTTGGCACAAAGATGATGCCATTGTGTTTTTGGGGTGAAGGAAGTTGCCCTGACTCAGAAAGTTTGAACGCAATTTTTTTTGCTATTCTTCTACTACTAAACTAAAGCTGAGAACCAAGCTCATAATTAAAGCTGAGAACCAAGACTTCCAAAGCCAGAAAGAAATGATTACGTTCATTCATGCTCCAAGCATCTTTGTGAATTATTTTTCTCAAGGTAGGAACTGGCAAACACAGACAGTAATCTCTCTGGCCAAACAAGGCATTAATTATGTTTATCTCATCATTCTAAAACAAGAAAAGAATCAACTAATTTTCTGCTGCAACAAACTAATAACCTGCAGGTTTTTTGGAATGCTAAGGATGAAGCCCTAGTCGGCCTTAGAAAAGCTCTGTTGGCTCAATTTGTCTTCTGATTTCCACTTGTTTAACAGATGCCACCCCACTCTGGAGTCCCTTTGATTTGTAGTCCCCTGACTACTGTTAATGTAAATATTTTAGAAATCTTGCCCATCCAAAATGCCTCTCCATTGCGTGAGCCAGAGTTGTGAACCTCAAATACACTAACCCAAACTCCAATTCATGGGGTTCATACTAGGATCAATGCCCCTGAGTAAAGTGGTTCATCGAATGAGTTACGCAATCAGTTAAGTTGGCATTTGTCACAATGTGATCCTTGACCAAGTGCCCGCAATACAGACTCCCATGCCACAATTATCATTTCCTATAGTTTTTCAAGGCCCATGAGCAATTTCCCCCTAGATGTCAGGACTCCCACAATGTGTTCTTGAGACTAGGCAAAACAAAATTCTCTTCTGCTTAGTGTTTATTAGAACCCCCAGGTACAAAATCTGTCCTGAGGAAGGCAAGAAATTTTCTCAAATTCCATAATCCCTTCCTCATTTGTACATGGGCTGAATAGTCTGATTGATGCACAATCATGAACAAATTGTCAGGGTACCCATAAATATGGACCCGCTGGGTGTTCAGATGTCCAAATACTGCCATTAATTTTGTGAACTATCTGGGTACCAATGTAGGTTGAAATGGAAGGGCCCTGGTTTTAAACCGTTACTCTCTTTAAGGAAACATGAAGAACCTGCAGTGTTTTGATCTGAAGAAAAGATAAAGGTGCACCTTGGATAGTTCTATTGATGTAAAAAAATTGTTCAAAATGGTAGCTTCAGTTGTAGTCCAATGTAATTGTCCAGTGCCCTTAGGTTCCAAATGGCTCGTCAAATCTCTCTCCTTTTTGGAACTATGAACATATTGAAAAATAGGTAATTTAGCCTCTTGAAAACTACAATTTACTCTATAGTATTATTTATTCTTAAAGATGAAAGTCTAGAAGAGTTTTTCTTCTAACACAGGGGTCCCCAAACTTGGCAACTTTAAGACTTGTAGACTTCAACTCCCAGAATTCTTCAGCCAGCTATGCTGGGAGAATTCTGGGAGTTGAAGTCCACAAGTCTTAAAGTTGCCAAGTTTGGAGAGCCCTGTTCTAACATTTGCTTACTTTCAATTTTTGTTTAATATAGCTATCAGCTTTTTAGAAGCCTAACCCAAAAAATGCAAGAGATTGGATCAGATACTACTATGAAAGACAGTGTTATTTATTCCTTTGGAAACACCCTAGGAAAAAAAATCTACTGTATACTATAGTTTTAAAATGCTCAGGGATAACACATTATTTTGAAGCATTTTGAATGCAGGTATAATATCTATTTCTTTCCTGAAAGACTTTAGCAATTGCTTGCAGAAAAAAAACGGTCAACTAAAATTATGCACCTATCTTCATTTTATTTGATAAAAGTAAAGGAATAAGATAAGTATTTAGCAGCCCATTCATGAACATATGGCAATTACTCATTTTCTTAACTTTATATTAAACAAAGCAACTATAGATCAATGACTAGTGTCAAATAACTAAGATAAAGAACTCTGCTGGAAACCACATGGAATTGTAACTAGAGCTGATATGACCAGACTCATAGCAAAGGTTATATAACTCGACAAACATTTAGAAGGAAACAACCTGTTATACCGTATGATCAGCTGACTTCTTTATTTTTGGTTGAGTTAAATGTATTAATTGATCCATAATTTATTAAAGTCATTAACAAAAGAGAATAAATAAATTAGTGGAACTAATGATATCATTATGTGTTCAATTACTATGCTGATATTATATGTGCCACAGTCTATTTTGGGATTCATTGTCCCTTTTAGAATAAGATAATGGTAGCGTAGGGCATCAGTGACTGGTAATCTTTAAAGCTACAGCTGCAGTATGTGTCCATAGCAAGCCATAACAACAAAACAAATGACAGATGAATCTGGTGATGCCACAGCACAAAGCCTAGTCTGGTCTACTTGCATGTCAATATCTAGCCAAAGTTCAAAAGCCAAGGTTTGGATCAAGACATATGTTTTGTCACTTGGCTCCCCTTGGTACCC